ACCAGCAGGGACGCGGTACAACTAACCAGTAGGAGCGCGCCGCGTCAGCAAGAGGAATAGCCAGCGTGCGTGGCAGCGCGTGCGCGCGCGTGGCAGCGCGTGTGAGCGTGCGCTCACTCTCTAGCGCGTGTGAGGGCGCGTGTGAGCGCGTGTGTGCGTGGAAAGATGTGTGGAATCGCGTGCAAGGTGCTTCGGAGAGTGTAGAGGCGCGTGGTAAGGTATTTGGTGTCTCGCAAAGGTCCGGTAAAGTCCGGAGAGGTTCTAGAATAAGTCTCGAGGTGTTCTAGTTTTTCTAAAGGCTGTAGAGTGTTGCTAAGATATGTGGTAGCCTTTAGCGTGTGTAACAGAATAAATTAATGATTATTATAGAAGGAAATGAATATATATATATATATATATATATATATATATATATATATATATATTTATTTATTTATTAAGTTATTTATCTATAATCGTACATGAGTATATGGTTTATTTAACTTGCGATTAGGATGGAAGGAAATAGTTATATATATATACATCTGTATATGTATATATAGTATGGAAGATATTATATACGTATATATTACATAATATATGTGTATATGGATATCATTTAAGATAATTATTATTATAAGTCTTATTTGGTGTATCTGAATATGTGAGTTATTAATTATTGACATGCTTATTATATGCATGAGATGTGTATGTGTGATTTAGCTTATTAGTTAAGTTTAAGGTTGGTACATGGTTGAATTGTAGGCATGGATGAGTTGCCAAAGGCTTAAATATATTGCCTTATTATTCGTATAGATAAAATACATACGTGGAAAGTATGGAAGAATTGCTAATTAAAAGTATAAATATATATACTTGAGGAGGCATGGTTGAGTTGCCAATATATAGATAAATATATTCATAATAGCATGGTTGAATTGCTATAGCAAAATTAAATTGCTATGTATGTTAGGTGATTAAATTCATCTATGTGTACGGTAGGTATAAGTTGGATTTAAGTTAGATATTCTTAAATTAGAATAATCTAGTGGTTACATATTAGTGTATTAATTGGTATATATTAATAAAATATTGTGGGTGGAGACATGAATGATTTGTGAAAGTTTAAATTTCTGAACATGTAATTTAAACCATCAAAAGTATTACTAGGTTTTGGATTTTAGTGGATTATTCATTTAAATGTAATTTATAGCTAAAATGTTAAATTACTGGTTAGGTTGGAATTAAGGTGAGTGGAGTTTATTTTATAGGAAACTTATAAATGATGGTTTTGGTCTAGGTCTGATTATTAATTAATCGTTGGTAAATGGATTTAACAATTTAATTGCACCTATTACTAGATAGGATTATTGTATTGTATAAAAGTATTTATATATATTTATAGCATGGTATATTAAAGTTTAAACTTTATTAGGGTTTGTTTTGATATAGATGATTTGTTTATTGGCTTTCAGAGGTTTGGTAGAGGGAACTTGTTCGTAGGGTTTAACCCGCGATTTATTTTTCAGGTTGTTAGAAGGTCAAGTCTCAAGGTTGAGGATCCGCAGCTGGAGGACTTATCCATTCTTTCTATTGATTTACAAGTAGGATATTATTATTGTTACAGTTGAGATTAGTATTTATTTGGTTGGATTTTGGTTAAGGGGTCCTTGAGTTACGGGATTCCCGAACTGTAACCATTTGGAAGTTATTAATGGATTTACTATTAATTAGATTTCTTCAGCGTTTTATTTTAGTCTTTATTTTATTTTGTAATCTGTGCTTGTTTAAATATTTTAATTGTTTTGATATTCCCTAATTTTGTGCGCGGACTTGATCAACCCGTGTTCCGAAATTGGTAGGTATCACACGTTGTCACCAATTGCTTTATGGTTGTAGTTGAATGACATCTCAACCTTCTAGAGTGAAATGTCAATAGTTCAAGTTTTAGTGAGTGTTTGAATTATTTGTCAGAACTTTGAGAAAAAAAAAAAAAAAAAAAAAAGAAGAAGAAAAGAATTATTTGTCCAAATTAATACCCATGAATATTAGTCAAACACCCTTTTATGAATTGTAAAAAGGTGCATGTATTACAATTATTCATCATGTTGACCTTAAAATTTGAGAATGATTTCATGTTACACTTGTTCCATTTGAAAACTCAATTCTAAATATAATTAAGAATGAATTAAGTAATTATTTAATCAAATGTGTTTAATAACATAATTAGAAGTACTTAAAATAGTATATTTTTTTAAGTAATGAAAGATTCATCTATCAATAATACACAATTTTAGAATTCAAACAAGTACTAAAGTTTTTTTTTTTTTTTTTTTTTTCAAATTCCAATTAGCATTTAAAATTTTTAGTGCTTAGAAGTATTCGTTCTTAATTTTTAATTTTATCAAAAAAACCAAACTAGAATTCCATTTTGTTCCTTTCTCACCACCCCATTTTTAATTGAAAAGACTCTTAAAAGTCCTTAAAAGTGCCACTCTCAATACCCCAACAAACCCACCTCCCCCCCCCCTTTCTTGTTTTTAGGTGTATCATTCTTGATATATTGGAATTATAATTGAAGTAAGAAACCATCCATTCAATTACAAGCCAAGGAGAATTCCATACATTTATTTTGAAGTAAATCATTGCCACCTCAAGATTCAACTTCTAAAAAGTGACATTATTAGTCCCGGCATCATTGACCTCGAATCAATGATGACTAATTAACATGTAAATAAATGTGTAAACTTTCTTCAATATTTTAACTTGCATGTCATAACTAGATATATACCGAAATCAATGGTCCCAGAATCATGTAACAATTTTTCTTTTAAAAGAGAGTGGTGGGCAGTTAGATCCACTACAATGCACTCAGCACAAATTTTTAGTTTTAAAACCATTATTTATTGAGTGAATTATATAAGATTGAAATGTGGAATGGTGGTAACAAGGTGAAATTGGCCTCGTGCGTGTGCGCGCGTGTGTTCTTTTTATCATGATAAGAAGCACACTTACGTCTACACATATTTTTTATTGAGTGTTTGAATTATTTGTCAAAATTAATATATACACACACACATTATTGCATCTTGCTAACCGCAAATTCTTCTAAAATTTCAAACTACTGAAAATATAACTTAAATGTGTATGTCATCACCAATTGCTTTATGGTTGTAGTACACTTGAATGACATCTCTATCTTCTAGCGTGAAACGTCAATGGTTCAAGTTTCTTTAAATACAAAAAAATGTGTGTTTGAATTAGTTCTCAGAATTAATACCCTTGAATGTTAGTCAAACTCCTTTTATGGATTGTACAGAGGTGCATGCATTACAATTATTCATCATGTTGACCATGAAATTTGAGAATGATTTCATGTTACACTTGTTCCGTTTGAAAACTCAATTCAAAATATAATTCAGAATGAATTAAGTAATTATTTAATCAAATGTGTTTAATAACACAATTTGAAGTTCTTAAAATAGTACATTTTTTTTAAAGTAATGAAAGATTCAGTTATCAATAATGCACACTTTTAGAATTCAACAAGTACTAAGGTTTTTTTTTTGAACAAAGTACAGAAAACCTCCCTTAACTTGTAATTTTTTTCAATAAATTCTCCTCGTCTAATTTTTTACCAAAGAATCTCCCTCAACTTATAACCCTTTCTAATAAATCCCTTTTGTCTATTTTTTTTTTTTATCAAAGAACCCCCTCAACTATCTAAGGGGGTAAAATAATTGATATTGGACCAAAATGTCCTTTTATTTAAATCTTAATTTGTTTGAACCTCAAAAATTCATATCTCACAAACCGTACATCCAAATATTACAAATAATATATGGATGGAAAACTTATAAAACAAGAATTTTAGAAATATAAGAATTGTTTAATAAAACTTCATAACCATAGAGAAATAGATAATTTAAAAATCTACTGCAATAATTTTATTTTATTTTATTTTTTATAAAATACTTGGATTATTTGTAAGAAAATTTTCAGAATTATTCATTTTCATATGGAGCATAACATATAAAAAAATTAGCCACAATAGAGACCGAATATTCATTTTTATATATTTTTAAATGGCGAGTCTATAAAAGAATGACAATACGTTGACGCAAAATATGATATCTCATAAAATCAATCTCTATTAGGGCTAAATTTTTTTATATATTCGGCTCCATATGTAAATGAATAATTCTGAAATTTTCTTGCATATATCTCGAGTATTTTATTTTTTAAAAATAAAATAAGATTGTTGGAGTAGATTTTTAGATTGCCTATTTCTCTCTAGTTATGAAAGTTTGTTGTACAAATCTTATATTTTTGGAATCATTATTTCGTAAGCTTTCTGTGCATATATTATTTATAATTTTCAAATGTACAATTTCATTTTGTTCCTTTCTCACCACCCCATTTTTGATTGAAAAGACTCTTAAAAGTCCTTAAAAGTGCACATATGACTTAAAAGTTCCATTCTCAATACTCCTCCCCACTGTTTTTTAGGTGTATCATTCTTGATATTTGAATTATAATTAAAGTAAGAAACCATCCATTCAATTACAAGCCAAGGAGAATTCCATACATTATTTTGAAGTAAATCATTCCCACCTCAAGATTCAACTTCTAAAAAGAGAAATTAGTTGGTCTCAACTCTATGATCATTAGTTAACATGTAACTAAATGCATAAATTTTCTTCAATATCTCAACTTTGGTATCAACTAGATATAGACCGGAATCAATGATCCAGAATTATGTAAAAAAAAATTCTTTTAAAAGAGAGTAATGGGCAGTTTAGATCCCCTGCAGTGCACTCAACACAAATTTCAAATTTTTAGTTTTAATACCATTATTTATTGAGTGAATTATATAAGATTGAAACGTGGAATGGTGGTAAAGGTGAAATTGGCGTAGCATACAAAAGGACACTCACTCACATACACATTTTGACCACACCAGGCTCAAATCCTTAACCCCCTCTTTAAACATGGAGAGGTTATAACATTGAGGCTAGATACTGGTTTGATGCACGGAACAATACTTAAGAGAGAACTCCAACAACTGAAATTCAAATGAGACTCATATTTGATTTGCGGAAAGAATGTAGACATGTATAATTTTCCTTTGCAATATTTATCATTCTTTCTGAGAACAAAAAGCAAAGAAAACGAAAAACATCAAGTCTGGATCAGTCAGGCATTTGTTATTTCTTCTCCTCTTCTGATTCATCAAGAAGCTCCTCCAACACCTTGTCATCCAGATACTCAAGCTCAATGACATGCCTTCGATCTTGTCCTATTGATGAACCTCCCCTCTCAAAACTCTCACTAGGAACACCAGAAGAAGATGATGAAGACAAAGACATTGACAATGGTGCACATGGACTGTTTCCGAGCTTAGAATAATATTCATTTGGAAAATTCAAGATTGCGAGGTGTCCCCTCAGGTTAAATGCAGCTCGATCATAAGCTCTCGCCGCGTCCTCCGCCGTCTCAAAGGTTCCCAACCACAGCCGGGCACCTTGCCGAGACGGGTCTCGAATCTCTGCTGCAAACTTCCCCCACGGCCGCCTTCGGACTCCCCGGAATCGGACTTCTTCTCTTTCCTTCACCTGCTTGTCCTTCCCCTTTCCCCTCTGAGAAGACCCTTCCATGTTTTATTACAACGTTCTTTCGGTTCTCAAATTTGGTGGCATATGAGTGGATACATTGTACATAGGTTCATAGCTGATTTTATAAACGTGGAATATTATGGTTGCAAGTTGTACAATCATTCATATATATATATATATATATATAATATAAACATTAAACATATATATTTTTAGAAATTAAATGTGTTTCTTGGAAGTTTCTCTCTGATAATAGTATCAAAATTCGATTGTTGTTCGACACAATCTATGAATTCAAAGTGTTAACCTCTTTTTACTGCTAATTAAGCTTTTTCTTTTTCATGTAGTGATTGGATTCCAACTTTTCTTGCACACAGATTTAGATTTTGTCGGGTAAAAAAATAGTTAAGTTCATCTTGTTTGAGATATATTCGTAATAAATATTATGCTAATGATATCTATCTTTGCGTTCTTATTGATACCCAAATCACACAGAGAACTACTTTATTATTTCAGTGAGGAGTTATTGAACAAAGTTGTTAGTGAAAACAAATTTAAAATTTCAAGTCTGAGTTTTGACTTGGGCTCAATTTGACCATCTTTCTAAAAAGGAAACAAATTTTTTTTTGTACTCCGTAATATTTTATTTTACAAGTGCGATCCTTTACCTTGTGAGATCCCAATCATATCAGAGACTACAAAAGCAGATACATTATTTTATTTAATTAATTTATTTTTTTCCTTTACGCCAAGAAAGAATTATATTGATGAAAAAAAGAGCCTAGCTCTTTAGATAAGGTCAAGGTTTATTTTTCATTGAGAGCCATAGCAGCCAACTGATGAGCAACACTATTGACTCCCATAATGCATTATTTTTATTGATAACTCAACGACTGAGGATAAAAAATAAAAATACATTGTTGAAAAACAATTGTAATATTTAAGCAATTTGACCAGTGATTGATATTTTAATTGAAAATTGCTCATAATTTCATTCAATTAACATTTTGGATAATTTCTTCTATTTTGATTATTATTAAGCTAACATTTTAGAAAATATTTAGATATGTTATATAAATAAAGAAAATTTTAGTTGAGGCCAACATAATGTAAAACTTTTACCAAAAATTTAGTAAGGCACTTATCCAAAAATCAAAAATAAAAAATTAGCAAGGCATTATTATAATTTTAGCAAAATTTTAGGTACATAATATAAATAAAGAGAATGTCAGTGCAGGTTGTTGTCACCACTTACATATACATAGTTCTGTCCCTAAATATGACAAATTATTTGTCAAAGGTTTTTTATTTTTTTATTTTTTTTTGACGTGGGAACCCTCGCAACTATCCTCCCCGACCTCACACTGCAAGGAGCATTTTAAGTCAAGAACTTATAGAATTGGAGAATCGAACTCACACCCAAGTACTAAATATGATTGTCTAGCATTTAGAGGCTCCCCTCCCACCAACTCTGCTGGCACCCTGGTGCATTATTTGTCAAAATTGTTAGAGTAGAATGGTGCTAATAAATTATCTAAACCTAAGTTACAATGAGTTACGAGGAGCGGGTATGAGAGCTGAAGTATAAAAAGCAAAATTTGGTCAAAACAGAAGTGCCTCCAGAGCATGTACTACTGAATATATGTGTGTCTGCATAAATTATATTCAATATTTGTACATATATTAAGCACCATTATATACTTGTAAAATAATAAAATTGTAATTTCATTAGTAAGAGGACAATGTGTTTGAGTTATATTAATCCAATTTCCTCTATGTTAGGCGACAAAGAATATTAATAATATTTAAAATACAAAAACTATAATATATTTTTAACTTTTAAATAAATACAACTTAAGAAATCTACATACTTAATATATAGATTTTGGTAAAGTACAGAAAACCCGCCCAGCTCGACTTGTAGTCTTTTCTAATAAAATCCCTTTGTCTAATTTTTTACCAAATAACTCCCTTCAAATATTTGAGGAGAGTAAAAGAGTGAATACTTGGACCAAAATATCCTTTTATTTAAATTCTAATTTTTTCGAACTTCAAAATTTAATATTTCACAAACCCTATATTCAAAAATTATAAATAATATATACACGGAAAGCTTATGAAATAAGGATTCTAGAATTGAAATATTTATGCAATAAACCTCCATAACCAGAGACAAATAGACAATCTAAAAATCTGCTCCAGCGATCTTATTTTATTTTTTTAAAATAAAATACTCGTGATATTTGTAAGAAAATTTCTAGACTTATTCATATGCATATGGAGCATAACAAATAAAAAAATTTGCCCTAATAAAGATCGATTTCATGAGATATCATATTTTACTTTTTTTTTTTATAGAATCACCGTTTAAAAAAAAAAAAAAAAATCAAAATGAATATTCGATCTTTGTTGAGGCTAATTTTTTTTATATGTTATGCTTTATATGCAAATGAATAATTCTAAAAATTTTCTTTCAAATAACCTGAGTATTTTAAAAAAAAATAAAATAAAATAAGACTACTGCAGGAGATTTTTAGATTGCCTATTTCTCCTTGGATATAACGTTTTGTTAAACAAATCTTATATTTCTAGAATCCTTGTTTTGTAAGCTTTCTGCGCATATGTTATTTGCAATATTTCGATATTCGGTTTGTGAGATGAATTTTTGAAGTTCGAAAGAATTAGAATTTAAATAAAAAAGTATTTTGGTCCAAGTATCAACTCTTTTACCTCTTTCAGATAGTTTAGGGGGATTTTTTGGTAAAAAAAATTAGACAAAAGGGGATTTATTAGAAAATAATAAAAGTCTAGAGGGATTTTATGTACTTTGCCTTATAAATTTTTAAAGAGACATTGTTTAAATGATAAATTGTTATGAATTTGAGAATTCACAAATTGAATTTGAGCAATGACAAAATTAAATTCTTGAATTTGAGAAGGGTTGGGTGATTCAAGTTTAAAAGAAAATAACCCTCTTTTATATCATAAAATTGCATTTCTTTTATAGTTAAATCTAGTACCATATCAAAATCTTCAAGCTTTAAATGTAAATTTAACGAGGAAAAAATCTACAAACATATTTTTTTCAAGTGAAATAGAAGCTTTTCTTGAAGAGTAGTGATACTCACACCGAACATTTGTAATGAATTGTCTAATCGAATAATTTTTAATTGGTTATTTATACCACATACAATTAAGTAGAGAGTTTTACTTTCTTATTTATTGTATATTTATCTATTCACAAATCAATATTATTATTCTTTTTATTTACAAAATGACTACAATAAACAAGAATTTAATATTATATTGTAGCATAATCATGACGGATAGGAAATTTTAAAGAGAGTTTTCTTATTATAAATTTCATGATGAATCAATCAATTTGGGGGTTGGTTAAAATAATAATAATAATAATTAATTTGGAAAATAACGTTGGGCCCAAAGAGAGAAAGAGGAAAAAGAAAAATTGGTAATGGTTTTTAAGGCATTTAAAAGTATTGTCAATCTAACTTAATAGGATTCTAAGCAGCTTTGGGCCTACAAAAGTTGTGGTTCAAAATGGTATGCCATGACGATGTTGACGACGAAGGTCAAAGGTTCGTTGTGGACCAGCACGTGAGTTTTACTTGACGTGACCCCATCCATCACGCCCAGTGTTTGAACCAATATTAAATGTGTTGCCGTCGTGATCGATGGCGTGTTTTTTTTATATTTTTTTTGAGTGTTACTTTAATTCAAATATAGCGAGAGCGGAAGCGAGGGTGATATCGAAAGTTTGTAAAAGTGATATAATTAAATTATAAATAGTGATAATTTAAATCAGAGCGCGAGTAAAGTGTAAAAGCGGAAATGCATTCGAAGCGTACGATCGACACCCATTGAAAAGAATTATGTTACTTAGATGTTATTGAGTCTTTTATGCAGATAAATTTTTGTCTCTGTTCCAAATAAATGTGGCAATTTGTATTGGTTAACACTATATTATTTTGAATTAAGGACAATATTATTTGGAACCATGCGTATAGTATACCGGGTTTATTCAAGTCTTAAGTACATAATACACATTTAAGAATACATAACACTTATGACTCGGATAAGCTCGATACATAATGCGTTTGGCGCACCCAATACTTATTCTTTAACTCCAACATTTTAAATTTGACTTTTATATAATTCAAAACGTGAATTGCAAAATGTCCCGAGGCTTATTTTCAACTTTCAAGATTGGGTTCTGTACTAGCACTAATTTAATTTTTATACAATTTGTAGATGCAAAGTGCATAAAAGAATCCTAGAACATAATTACCAGGAAAACCTTCTTCAAAAAATTGCCAACCACACTTCAATGTAAATCTTTCTGTTTTTTTTTTCAGAATAAATAATGGACCATTGATGGAAACCCTGTATCTGGTCTTTCATTATCTATGCATTATGAATATACAATGCACTTAGGGATATATAAATCAAAATCATATATTGGATGCCCACAGCAGCCCCGCCAACACCAAGTAATTCATTAAAAATGTATATTTTAATACTTCTCCATGGTCGATAAAATCTCAGAGACAAACGTGTATTGTGTATTCTGCAAGTAAAGGTCATATAGTAGTCTTGACTAATAATAAATTATCATGTCCTATTATTATTAAAGAAAATAGAGTCTTAATTTGACTGGGTGCTACATAGTCAGGGCCGGTCCTGAGTTGTTCAATATTTTCTAAAGCCCTAGGCAAATGTGAGATCCAAAATTTTGAGAGGCCCTAGTAATACAAATTTTTCAGCTCTAATAATACAATTTTTTTGACCTAAATTGGAGTCTCTAGGCGACTGCCTAGGTCACCTAGGCCCAGGGCAAGCCCTGTACATAGTATGTATCCTACGTACATTGTACAGTTTGTACTGGAGTATTAAGAAATTTTTTGAACATGGACATTGTTTAATTCCCCCCTCCAGGGCACTTTTTATGAACCAAGGGATCCAAATACTACTTCTATCTTATATTAGATGTTCCTTTTGGAAAGTAAAACTTTTAAAAGGAATATGTAATTATTAT